GAGTCCCGTGCACCTCCGGCCGCGCCCCCGGCCCGCTCCGCCTCCCCTGCCCGCCTCTGCCCGCCTCTCACAGCGCTCGGGCGGTCCCATCCGGGCGGCAGGAGGGGCGGCTGAAGCTCCTCGTGGAAAGCGGCCGAGTGGCATCCCCGGACAGCCCTCCCGGGGGCTCGGCGCGTACGGCGAGGCAAAGTCCCACCGAGCCGAAGCGACCAGCTGCAACAGCTCCCCGCGGCGGAACGCCGACTTCCGCTCCCGGCCGGCGCTCGCCAATCAGACCCCGGTTCTGACGTCACTTCCTCCCGGGAGGCGTAGGAAACGACGGGCGGAAGAGGGTCCCGGAGCGGACCCGGAAGGGGTGGGCCCTGTGGGCGGGTCCAAGAGGCCCAGAACCTCGTGGGGGCCAAGGTGAGCATCGCAGGTATAGGAATCGGCTGGTCCTGGCTGAGGCCCTCGTGGTGTCAGCCGCAGGTGAGGCCCGGGGATTGGAGGACGGTCGCCAGGGTGGAGGGAAACCTGAGCGATGCGCTCGCCCCGCCGCTGTACCCCGAGGCCGCCCGCATACGCCGGGGCTGGCGCGTGCCGTGACTGCTGCCCGATTCCGGGCGTGCTCAAGCTCGCCCGAGGATGCTCCGGCAGCGCGGTCGGCGTGCGGAGTCCTTTCCCCCATCTGCGGACCGAAGACTCGGTTTAGGGACGTCTGATAGGCCTGTGATCATATCCCTGCCGTTCAGTTCATCATAGGAGCAATATGTTTGGGGGAGCTGTGAGTGTGGAAGCAGGGTGACAGGGGCGCAGAGGAAGGTTGTTAGGTCGTGAGCGCTCTCCAAAAGGCGTTGAGATCCGTGCCCGTGAGACACAGTAGTGATCAATGACAGGTCGTGTGGAAGATAATTTAAGTATTGAGGCAATGGAAAGGCTGCAAGAATTGGACTAGCCCCGAAGGAGTGGGCCTCAGAAGATAATGCTGATTGATAGGCAGACAGCAGAATGCTTGTTATTTTAGGTGACAGGAACAATATGAAGAAGCAAGGTGGCAGGACCAGGGAAACCAGCTAGCCTGACAAGGAGAGGTTATGCGAGAAATAAAGAGGGATAGATGAATTCTTGGAAACTGCAAGCAAGTTAGCCCTTTGAAGGGCTTTGGGGTAGGGACAGTGCATGTGAAAAGATCGGTAAGGTAGGATGACTTTTAAAGGAAAAGAATAACATGGAGGTGGAGATGCTAGATAGAAAACTCCTGACAAGGAGAGGTTATGCGAGAAATGAAGAGGGATAGATGAATTCTTGGAAACTGCAAACAAGTTAGCCCTTTGAACGGCTTTGGGGTAGGGACAGTGCATGTGAAAAGATCAGTAAGGTAGGATGACTTTTAAAGGAATAACATGGAGGTGGAGATGCTAGATAGAAAACTAATGCAGGAACTCAATGATAAAGAGCTGGAACAGAAAATAGTGGAAAGAGAGAAAAGGATCCTACTTCAGAGAAACCATCAGTTAGGTGGAAGTTTCTAACCAAAGAGAGGACAGAGGCAAAGAGAAGCAGTTTAGCTTAGTGGTTAAAATAATTTGAGTTAGACTGGATTGGACACTGGCTTTGGCACTTAAAACTAGCTAAATGTCTTTGGATGAGCTGTTTCATATCTCTGTGCCTAGTTTCCTGCTCTAAAATGGGTATAAGAGTACTATATACCTTGTAAGGTTATTAGGTTATCATGAAGAATATTTTTATGCTTACATTTACAATATGCTAGATTCTTTTCTAAGTGCTTTATGGGTAGTAATCCATTTAGTTAACTCAGTTGCTATATGTAACAACTACATGTTTACTCAGTTATATACATTTAATATGTTGCCATATACAGATTGCTACTTTTCTATTTTATGATAATATGAAAGTGATACAATGGAGTAGAAGCTGCACTTCTGATTTTTAATTTTGATCTTTTCCTGGGCTAGTGATGTGCGGTACGATACTGTCATATGCTGGGCAGTGGCCTTGAGCCGCAGCTCCCAATCAGCCATGCAGTCACAGGGGTAAAGTACCGATTTTCTGTAGTGTGTTCGTTGTGTTAGAAGATTTTGCCCAACTGGAGGCTAATGTAGATGTTCGGAGCACATTTAAGCTGTGATGGTCGGTAGCTTAGGTGTATTAAATGCACTTCTGATGTCTAATATTTTCAGCTTATTAGGACATCACCCCATCATAAGTCAAGAAGCATCAGTAGTAAGCACTCTTTAAGTCTTGGCTGCTCTCTAGCTAATAGATAGGTATCTATTTGTAATAATATTTTTTATTAATGAGCCAAAGATTACTACAAGGTTTTGAGGCTGAATGGGTAGGAGTTTGTATGTTTTAGAGTCAAAAACTACAAATCAGTGGGGTTCAGGACGCAAGGTAGGTTTGGTTTTAGACATGTTAAACATGATGCTGCAAGGTATTCGAATGGGGATGTCTAATTAGTATTCACGTATGTGGACAGGACTGTAAATAGAGATGAGAGGTCCTGGGGCCGAGGCAGGCTAGATGACACTTCCAAGGAAAATACTATGGAATGAGTTGGTAGGTGGCCAGTGACCACTCTGAGGAACAACTACAGTTAAGAAAGAATATGATGAATTGGGGAAGAATTGATCCAGTGGCCTAAGCTAAGAGCATTATCACCATGCTGGTATTTTTCCTTGATTAGTAACTGGCTTTAGTTGGTTCCTATGAAAAGAAAAATGAGGCCAGTAAGTGATTATTAAAAAAAAAAATTAGCAGAGAGTCGACATTGAATAGTTTTTTTTGTTAAAGTAGACTAAACAGCAGATTATAATCAGAAAGAGACCCTGTAGAGTTAAACCAAGCAACAACAACAACAAGAAAAAGGCCGTCACATCTGTTAAGTATTCTTGTGTTTAAGTTACATGGGTGTTTGGGGACATACCTTTCACTCTTCCGTATCAAGGGCAGATAGGCTTGACTTTTTATCTCCTTCACCTGTTGTCCATAACCAGAGTTTTCAGTGAATTTGATTCAGTGCGGGAACTGTGGCATCTTTCAAAAATAGTGGGCCAGGTTACTGTGCCATATTTCCTTGCCAAGGGGAGGCGGCTGCTCTGACTTAGAGATCAAGGACAGACCTGCCTGTACTGGAACAGTAGATCTCAGAGCAAGGGACTGCAGTAGCAGCAGCACCACTGGGGAACTTGTGAGAAATGAGAACTCTTGGGCCCCACCCGGACCTGCTGAATGGGAAGTGGTTATGGGGGGCGGGGGGCGGGTTCCCATCCATCCGTCTCTGCAGCCCTCGGGTGATTTGAAACCTAACTAGGGTTTGAGAACCCCTGTGTAAGAAGGTCAGAGATTTTGTTTTACTCAATGCCGTGTTTCTAGTTTCTAGAACAGTGCTTGTCTAATGAGAAGATTTACGGCAAATGTCTGTTGGTAAATAATTTCAGTCGTAGGCTGTCAGTCTCAGTGTAAAATCTTAGATGGTGGTTGAATGGGAGAAGCTATTGTTTGGCTACACTGAAGCCACATGTCAGCTGTTTCTGAGAGGGGCATGACAGTGTGACCAGTTTGCAACTTGATAAATGAGAGATTACGCGTTGAATCAGCAGTGCATAAAAAAAATGAAGATGTCTGGGTATTTTGTGTCAGTGATTTATTCAGAGCAAATAAAGGTTAAGAAGCCACAAGTTGTGCGCTTTTCTTAACCACATGATAATCAGTTGATGTCTGCCAGCCTAGCAGAACCCAGGTACCCCCAAAATGGAGTTTCTTCATTCGCATGCACAGCTGCCTGTCTTGTGGTTTCAGACCCTGTAACATGGGGCTCACCAAGCAGTACCTACGCTATGTCGCCAGTGCCGTCTTTGGCCTTATTGGCAGCCAAAAAGCTAATATCGTTTTTGTGACACTTCGTGGTGAAAAAGGACGCTATGTGGCAGTACCGGCCTGTGAACACGTTTTCATCTGGGACTTAAGAAAAGGAGAGAAGGTAAGCCAGAAATGAACTGCACCGATGTTGATTTACAGGTGTTTGGAGATGGAGAGGCAGAATGGGGAGAGCGCTGAAATCTCTTCCGTTTGGGTCTAGATAGCCGAGTGTTAGGTTCTGTTCTCTTCTACACTGAATTCTGAAAAGCACAACCAAACAGGAGCTTACCTCTTAGGCATCTATTTGTAGCGATATTTACAGGTAACTATTTGTGATCCTGTTCCCGACATGCTTATCTTTCTCTGCTTTACCACTTCTCTGTTTTTCAAGTTCTTCCATTTGCTCTCACATCCAGATAAAAAATGTTAGGCACCTCAAAGCAGTAGTACTCTGCTGTGTAGACCGAATCTTTTTTTTTTTTTTTTTAACTTACACAGACGAGGCCCGAGGGTTGTTAAACTAGACTTTGATACTTTGTCTAACTCTAAATCCCTAAGCCTTCCTTCCACTTATGCCAAACCAAACACAGGCATTTCGATCTCGTCCACTTACTATGTGACTCTCAGGGGGTTAATACTTTGATACCTGTTCACCCAGAGCCCCTTGGGGATAAACCACTGTAGCACTCAGGTGCCATGCAGGCTGGTTGCTTATAATACGGGGCTCAGTTACAGCAAAGATGTGTTTATAACTCTTTATAGAAAAAGATTTGTTGACATAGGTTAATGACTTAGTAACATTCTATTGCCTGGAAATTTTTGCATGCATTATGCTACTGTAGAGCTTTTGGAGAAAATCATTTACTTTTTCTTTAGTGTTTCATTACCCAGTACGAATAATAATTCCTGAGTGAAAGAACTTGGGGTGGACTGCAGAGTTTCACTGTTATTCCTAAGAGCGATTTGGAAGCCTCGGGCCCTTGACTTCACTGTGCCCGATTGTTCCCACGCGTCTCCCCTGATGACATGGTCACTCCCCCACGCAGGTTTTGATTCTTATGATTTCAGATCCTCATCCTTCAGGGGCTTAAACAAGAAGTCACTTGCCTGTGCCCCTCCCCAGATGGGCTCCACTTAGCTGTCGGTTATGAGGATGGGTCAGTCCGGATCTTCAGCCTCCTGAGTGGGGAAGGAAATGTGACCTTCAACGGACACAAAGCGGCCATCACTTCCTTGAAGTATGATCAGCTAGGAGGCAGGCTGGCATCTGGGTCCAAGGTGAGGCCTTCTGTTGGGCGCCCAGACGTTTTTTGTCTGGTAAAGGAGTGTAAAGTCAGTGCTTAAGCAGGATGTTCACACAATTGTTGGGTGATA